ATTTCGGCTAGGAGAAGGTGGTTTCATTTGGGCTCGACCCTACTCAACATAAATACATGTAAAACGTTGTTTGAAGGACTTTTGACACATCTTAGACATGAGGAAGCTAAGCAGGAGGTGGAGAAGCAAAAGCACACGGATTTCATCATTCAATCCTCACTCAAGACAAGAGTTTGGATCGTTTTATGTTTTCCTTTAACTTAAACATATTTGTGATGAATTGCTCCATATCTGTGGAGTAGTTCTCTTTAGAATTTGCTGGATTTGGTGTATTGATACTTGTTTGTGGATATTAACTCTAGTTTTATATATTGAATCATTTTGGATGATTTAATCGTTGCATCTATATTCACTTGTTCATGTAATCGAGAGAGGCATAACTTGTGAATTCTTTGCATTCTATTTTGTAGGTTGAAGTCATTAGTTAACTCTTCTTAGTAATCGAAAGAGGCTGGTTGAATTGTTGATTAAACCTAATTAGGAGCATAATCGAAGGAGGTTCTCCTAAAGACCAAACCACTACGAATTCTTGCATATTTTCACCGCGCTTAACTTAGTTCATCTCGTGAGGTTGAGACTTAATCGAGAGAGGAGTTTCTAATAAACGTTTGTGCTAATAATTGAGTGAATTCGAGAGACTCACTTGAACATTAAAAGTGAATTATCTAGAGTAATATCCCAAACATTTGTCTTGCACCTATCCCATCAACCCTATTTTTTTCCCCATTGATAACCTTCTTTGTTCATTACTTGCGTCGATTGTCATTAGCCAATAGTTTAGACTCTTAGTTAAATTTAGTTTTAATCACCTAAATCTCAATTGTTGATCATCTTGGATAGTAATTAAACTAGAACTACGAAAATATTGTTTAACTCCAATCCCTTTGGATACGATATTATATTATACTATACTCGACTAGCGAGCATATTTAAGTGTGTGTTTTGCGCTCGTCATGGGGATGGTACAAGAATACGGCAACCTGATTTCCACAGAAACCGGGACTATGAAATTCGGGAACAAAGGTTTATCATCGGGACCGGGACTGCATGACCAGCCCCGTAGAAACAATTTGTACAAATTAGCCACAAGTAATGGCAATTTCTTTTCAGCAAATGAATGCTTACATACATTTGAAGATAGAAGGAATAAAATAAAGTCCTTTTATTTTTATCTTGTTTCCTGTCCAAACGATGAATTAATTTTATCATTTGAAAGTTAATCAAGTACTTCAAATGCTAGTGCCAAAATGAATATGAGACATATTCTTCAAGAGCATCGTAAACATAAGAGGGCCTTCTCTTACGATACCCTCACAGTAAAGGGTTGGTTTCGGAAAATTTTATGCCGAAACACAAATGCTACAGGGAAAAATGCACCCGAAACCTTGCATAATTCGACGCAATAAAAGTAAACTTTTCGCAATGCTTAAACGAAAAAGAACGTGTATACAACAAACGTGCCAAGCAGCACAATAACAAAAGTATGCAAAGAAAACAACAAAGGGAAAATAAAGCAAAAACCTAAACTACTGTGTCCGCATAACTTGGGGGAATAGAAGCGTCTGCACCCCCAGGAGAAGTAGGAGGATCTACCGCCGGCTCCGGATCTTGGCCTTCATCATCATATCCTTCAATTTCATCCGCAGCAACGGCAGCCTCTTCAGCTTTGGAGTTCGAGGTTGCCTCCAAATTATTTAATCTCTCAGTAGAGGCAGCCTCGCGCGCGGTAGTAGCAAGAACAACATTTTGGACCTCAGACCATTTAACCTTGGCTTCTTAAAATTGTACATTTAACTGGGAGGCTTCTTGGCTAAGGGCCATCACTTCCTGCTCACTCTGCTGCAACCGAGCCTCCAACTCACCGACTTCAGCAACTTGTGCTTCCAGCGCCGGAAGGTGAGCAGCAACTTGGTCCTTCTCGGCTAACAGTTGATCCCTTTCGGATGTAAGATTCTCTTTATCAAGGATCAACTTTTGAAAGCCCTCGGAAGCAAGAAAGTTGGTCCGCGAAGCAAAAATCCAAGTTAGAAATCTTTTCATAACAAATCAAGAGAATATAAATAGCAAAGAGAACGAGTCCATACCGCTGTTGCGTTGTACATGACATTATTTATCATACACTCCCCCGAAAGAGAGTGTATTATATTCTTGTATTTCTTTGAAGCCACCGACTTTAGGTAATTGGCGAGTTCCACCAGCCGGGATAGCAGATGGGACTTGGTAGTTACAGAGAGAGACACGCTCCTCCTCCTCCTCTGGGGATCTGTAGAGGGGGGCGAATAGTTATGCCCCAAATTCCTATAGTTTGGGGACTGGGGAGAGGGACATCCTCCTCTCGCGTGTCTAGGTCGGTGGGGGTGATGTAGCAGTTGCTGGACAAAGGTATGACCAGTATGGAAGGAGATGAAGCTAATGGTGTTGTGGGTTGAGAAGCGGTTGCGGCAAAGGCAGTGCTGGTTGCAGGTTGCTCATCAACCGAAGATGGAAAAGGCCCGATACTCAGCCTCATAGTACCGAGAGCAGCAACTAGGGCTTGAAAGCGAGAATTGGCATTCTTCACTAGATCACATTCTCCTTAGAGCGCTTGGACGTCATCCTCGGTTGGTGTTATAAGCTCTTCAGATTGAGCATTCTGTTGAGTTGATGAAGGTCGTTATCTCTTCTGTAGGGAAGCCCCTTCATCACTTGCTTCCCCATCATCATCAATCACCACAGTGGCTACGGCGGGCTCGGGCGCAGCGTTCTTTACCTTTTTTACTTTTGCCCTCGGTCGAGGAGGAGCGCCGTCTTTTTAGTTGCTTGCTCTCCAGCCAGGGACTCCGAGAGGAAGCACTTGCACTGGAAGCTGATCCGATGGCTCCTGTTTAGGTGAAGGCCTCCTTCAGCAACCTCGCAGCCTCTGTGGGATCAGCCAAAAGGTCCTCATCGGGGACGGTAACAGAGCCCTGCAGAAGACATGAATTCAATAGAAAAAGAAGTTAACCAATTTTCTTATACAAAACAAAATAAGATTAGGGCATGATCAATCACATGAGTCAACTTACCGTGATTTTTGGCCTTCCACCCGTATTTTGGGGCCAGTTCTTTCCACCGGCGGGTCTCAGGCATGATAATGTCCCGAATCTTCTTAACCTACTAGTCTAAGCCTTCTACCTTTGGTGGTGTCCGCCTAGTTGCTGAACAATGAAAACAGAAGGGTCAGTAACAGCATGAAACAACCTTTTTTAGAGAAAAGACAGACGTTAAACTTACGTGTACGAGTCCATGACTCAGGAAAAAATAGAGTTGTGGCTGGGATGATATCTTTGGTGGCAACAACAACAAACCACTCCATCCATCCACAGTTGTTGTCGTCATCCATGTTGGTGAGTAAAGCATGGTAGCTACATTTGCTAAAGTTTATTACTTCCCCACAGAAAATTTTGGGGGAGTAGAGGTTCATCATGCGAGCCAATGTGAGCTCTTCCCCCGTCTCCTGGCACAGGCGCCGTAGACAGGCTACCGTCCGCCACACAGAGAGGCCTACTTGTGCCAAGCAGACTTGATACCGATGGTAGAATTCCAAGATCACGGGGTCAAGTCCCCCACTCAATGCGAATGGGCCCAAAGTGAAGCGGTACGTGTAAAAATACGAAAAGCCCTTCTTAGGGAAAGTTACTCGCTCCACCAGTTCAGGAGCGATGATGTTCAGGTAATGGAAACCACAATCCTCCTTCACAACAAGAATGCTAGAAGGACGGATGGAAGAAAGGTATGCGCCAACAACCCATGTACGAGAGCTTGTAGAAAGAAACTTCTCTTCGAAGTCCTTAGCTGTGCTGAGTCTTCTGGGAATGATGGTGCTACTATTGGAGGGGCAACATCATCTGTTGAGAACTTGAGTTTTTGCAGGAGGAAGTCATGGTTAGCAAAAGGTAATAAGAGTTCTTTGAAGAAGAATATTAAAGAATAGTGAAAGCAAGAAAGAGTTGTATGCAAAGAAGTTGAGAGAGTTTGAAAAACTATGAAGTGTAATAAGTAAAGGAATAGGCGGCTAAAATTGTGGTCATGATTACCTCGAGAATCGGAGAAAGTATCGCTAAATCGTGGAGTGACGCGTGTTCGGGGCAATAAATGCGGAGAGACGTGCGTCTAATCAAGCGTTAGAAACTTTTCAGAAGGGATCAGAAAATTTCTCGCCAAGAAAGGTATCTTCACCAACTTCCCGATGACACAAAGATGTGCCACCACAAAGCGGGGGAACTATCTGTATAGGATAAAATCGGTTTGTATTAAATACTCGAATAGTAGAGCGACACGTGGAACCGGAGACATACAGAAATCGGGGCAAGTGGATACGAAGACAGGGGACATCAACAACGGTTGGCACCAGGTAGACCCCGAAGGCATTATTGCTAACGAAGACAAACGAATGTTTGCCACCTGATGATATTTAATGAATAATTTTCTTCAGTATTAAATACACGATCCATTACAGAGAATTTTAGCATTCATAGTCTACCGTTATACATTCACCAATGCCCCCCATAATTGTCATTTACGAGGGTCTTGATCCTAGGACCTTGTTCCCTACGTGTAGCTATAATTGGTGTCTTCAACAACCATTATAGGATACGAAATTTCTAACGGACTCATACTACTCATTGTTCTAAGCTCAATAATATTTTATTTTTTGTCTTTTGATATTCTTATTTGTGTATTCCGAAGCCTTACTCCCGAAGAGGAGAAGTTTTTCTAACCAGATTGAAATCGTGAGACAGTTCGGTTCTCGATGCGGCATTACCGCAGTTGTATGTACTTGCATTTCTGCTGTTAGCATGCTTTGATGGCATAGAATCAATTTTATTTAATTTATTTATTATTTTGGGATTAAATCGATCCGATTATGTATAAACCACGTTACAAATTTAAGTGTGCCGTTTTACGGATAAACAATGTTTCTTTTTCTTGTTTAAGTATGGTTACGTTACATGCCAGAGGAATGGGAGGAAAGTCACTGCTTTGAGAACGAAAGCTTCATTCAGCTGTGAGTGCCTTCTTCCCTCCGCCTCCTCCAAATTCCCTAATAAGCCTTTTTCCGCTATCTACCAGTCCCCTATAATCCTCTTTCTTTCAACTTTCTCTTGCTTGTGCTCATTGTAATCTCTCTCTCTATATATATAGTAACTCTTTTTTATTGAGAAGTACAGTTGCTTTTCTTGGAGCTCAAAAACTCAACTTGGTAGTTGTGAAGGCTTGTACCTTTTTTGGAAAGCTATGTACCCCATGTGGAATACAATCAAATCTTGATGGATGAATATTGGAATTTGTTTGCTGAAAGTTTACATTTTTAAGGAGGTGTAGCTTCTGAAGTGAATTTGGAGCTTTTGAACTGAAGTTGAGGGTTGATTTTGGTGTAAATGAAGAAGTGAGGTTTAGTTGCTTTTTCTTAATACTTTGTTTGGGTTGTTGATTAATTTAGAAAATCTTGTTGGGATTTATCCTCTAATCATTGAAACTTAATTTAAAAAGATTGAACTTTTAAACTTAAAAATAAACTTGATTTGGTTGCTTTTATTATTTCTAAAAAGTATCTTATTTGACACCATTAAACAAATAGGTTTTGACTGATTATGCATTAATATATACTTACTGCTGTTATGGGTCTTATACTATTTTACTGATTAAGACATTAGTTTATTCGACAAATTTTGGTTTTCAGCTTTCGGAGTTATGCTTCAGAATGGCTCTCTGAACTTCTGATATTTGTTGAAAATAAATGCAGGATACCCAGTAATTCTTATATGCCCAAACTTTGAGCAATTGTGAGTAACAGTTGTTGCACTTCTTCATCATGCCTCTCTCTGAGTTCTTGAAAATGGCTAGGGGGAAGCTTGAATCTGGCCAGGAGAAAAGGTCATCCACAACTGATCCGTCCTCTAGGTAAGTTCAAGTATCTTTTGTTTTTTTTTTTGTAAGTCTCTTTGTGAGCAGTGGCGTAGCCAGGAATTTCGGCAAGGCTGTTTATACTTTAAACAAGTCAATAACTTTTTTTGTTGAATGATGGTGTACCAAAATTTTTAGATCAAACTACGCAATGTTTAACTAAACAATAAAAAAAAACTAATAGAACTATACTTTTATAAATCAATATTAAGATAACAAAAAGACAACTTTAGAAATTTTACTAATAAAAGTAAGCATAAAACCAAAGGAAAGAGAGAGTCGAGAGGCTTTGTCGTTTGTAGAGAGCTTTTGTTGAAATTTTTTTGTAGAGCTTGACTTTTAAATTATAAAATTTATTAAGAAATAACTTTTAGTTAAAAAATTACTTTTAAGATTAGTTGTTTATTTTCACATAAATTTTAAGAGTTATTTTATTAGAAATATTTTTAGATTAGAAAATAATCATATAGACCACAGATGGTGGTTTCCATTTATTTTTGGCAAATAACATGGGCATAGCTTTGAATCCGTGATCAACATGTCACTTTGAACATCCTGAACTGCTGGACTGGCTCACTCAACTGTGTTAAGGGTGTTCAAATAAAATATATAACCATATAAAGTAGCATTTAACTTATATAAAGAATATAATTTTTCCACGAAGGGTGTGCGCTTGACCACCCTTGGCATAGGGTGGCTACGCCACTGTTTATGAGTAATCAACTAGTTTAGGATTGAGACGTACTGTAGTAGTTGTTGTTGTAAGTCTTTTGGTGAGTACAAGTTTTGTGATGCATTTCTTTTCATGGCCTTTTGTGATTGGAACTAACTTATTGATAGTTAGCTGGTTGACTGTTGGTATACTTAAAAAGTTTGTTTGGTGTTTATGCAGTCTTGAGGATGAATTGGTAGAGCTAGTATGGGAAAATGGTCAAATTGTGATGCAAAGTCAGTCCAGCAGAGCTAAGAAGAACCCTACTTTTAATAATCTTCCATCAAGCTCCCTGAGAGTTAAAGACAAGTTCACAGGGAATTCCTCAACCACAAAGATCGGAAAATTTGGTGCAATGGACTCTATGTTGGATAATATGCCATTAACTGTTCCCAATGATGAAATGGATTTGATTGAAGAGGATGAAGTGGTGCCTTGGTTGAGTTATTCTGCAGATGATAGCCCGCAGCAAGATTATCACTCTCCACTGTTACCTCAAATATCTGGTCTGACGGTCAATGAACCATCTGGTAGGAGAGGATTTGCATCAATGGATAAGAGAGGTATTTCTAATCAGATGAATGGGGATTCACATAGTGTTCCCATTCGTAACATTGTGAACTCAGAACAAGGAAATGCATCAAAGCTCTCTCCTTCTAGATTTAACCTGTTATGTTCAGGTGCGCCAAAGAAATCTTCTGCACCAATTCTGCCCCTAGGATCACGAGTCTCAGATATTATTAGCAGTAATACTAGCTGCAATATGCCAGTTTCCGCTTTTGGATATTCAAATTCAAGTCAAGCTTCAGCTGGTGTTATCAAAAGCATGAAGATGCAAAAGCAAAATATACCTGGAAATAGCTCCAGTTTGTTGAACTTCGCGCATTTCTCAAGACCTATTACTGGGGGTTCAGCTGTTTCAGGCTCGTCTACCATAGGGGCAAGGGGAAATATAGAGAGAGAGAATGGGGGAAGTAACAGAAATCGTGTTAGTGAGGTACCATTTGAATCATACTTCAGTTCAGAAAAGGAAAATGACGTCCATTCTCCACCTTACATGGCATCTTCCAAAGTCGAGTCAAAAGGATCTATCGGCCTTCACGAGAGGTCATGTCCCATTGAACAGTCTGATAATTTATGCGGAGATAGTCCAAGTAATAATGACATGTCTCGTGATCAATTTACTGGTGTAAATGCACTCAAAGAATTTCCTGATGGTGAGAGAAATGTTGAACCTGTAGTTGTGTGTTCATCTGTATTCTCTGGCAGTAGCGCAGAGAGAGCATCAAGTGATCATCCTCGTACTTTGAAGAGGAAAACTCGTGACAATGAGGAGTCTGAATTCCAAAGTGAAGTAAGTTGATTTCTGAAAGCCACTATTTTCAGAACCTTTTTGTTGTCTGTTGCTTCTTTGTCAACATGACAAGAAAATAATATTTTTCTGATCATTCATGACAAGGAAACAATCTTTTATTCAGGATGTTGAAGAAGAATCTGTTGGTATCAAAAGCGCTGATCCTGCTCAAGGAGGTGCAGGTTCAAAGAGAAGCAGAGCTGCAGAAGTGCATAATCAATCTGAGCGGGTGAAATAACAATCTTAGAAATGATTACAACATAATCTAGTGCTACTTGCATCTTCCAATTCTAGATATTTTTGTTGTTGAGATAATTTAGATAATGCAGTCTAATTCATCTTCATTGCAAACAGAGGCGAAGGGATAGGATTAATGAGAAGATGCGTGCATTACAGGATCTCATACCAAACTGCAATAAGGTGAGTTATCTCTCTGATAAGTTGAGTCATCGGTAACAAGATTTCTCTGAACTGCCCATATGCATACTTTCTTTTCTGTAGTGTCTCTTTTTCAGTTGTATGTTTTAATGGTTTCCACCCTCGATTGCTAGGTGGATAAAGCCTCAATGCTCGATGAAGCTATTGAATACTTGAAGACACTTCAAGTTCAAGTACAGGTTAGATGAAGTTTCTCTTGTGATTATGCATTAACTTTTTCCTTTATCTAGTCTCTTGGAATTATCTGTCCTTCCATTTCCTTACTTCTTCATCGTGCTAGTGTGAGGGGGATGGTTTGTGGATTCTCTGCAGTGAAAAGAAAATGCATCAATTTCTCTAGTACTATCTATGTAGTCATAAATTTCAGCAACACAGAGTTTTTGTTTTGGAAGAGGTACAATATGGCAAAAGATGTCTTCATGTTCAAATTCACCTTTTAAGACTTGCAATAGTCAATAAGCAGTATGATGTGTGACGATTGTCGAGCTACTACAGTTCACTCCCTTAACCTTATAGCTTGCGGTTTGGTTTGCCTTATTTGCATTTATTTTTATTTTGCCGACCCCACTTGTTCGGGACGGAAGCGTAATAGTAGCAGTAGTTGTCGTTTTGTAATCTGCAACTCTTGCAAGTAACCCTGCTTCACCCTGATGCTACTTTGGTTACACTTTAGAGATAGAAAACATGAGTGAATTTCTTTTTCTGTCTGTTATGCCATAACTATAGTTGATTGCTTTCATGTTCTGATCTATTTCAGATGATGTCTATGGGAGCTGGGTTGTGTGCGCCACCAATGATGTTTCCTGCAGGAATGCAATACATGCATGCCACCAATGTGCCACAATTTTCTCCGATGGGTTTAGGGATGGGAATGGGTTTTGGGATGGGTACACTAGAGATGAATGGTGGATCCCCTGGCTGCTCTATTTATCCAATACCCACAATGCAAGGAGCACATCTTCGCTCCCCACCAGTTTCTGGCTCTGCTACTTTTCCAGGAGTAGCTGGATCTAACCTTCACTCTTTTAGGCATCCTGGTCAAGGACTTCCGGTGTCGGTACCACCTGCATCTTTGGTTCCTTTGGCAGGGCAACCATCGAAAAATGCAGCTGTGGGTTTAAATATCACAACTGCAGGAGTTCATACAGACATACGGAATACTTCAACTTTAGACCCCGAAACCAAGGACGCACTAAGAACTCACATATAATGAATAATGCTGTTCCGAGCTGCTAAATCAATCAGATTTCAAATCAGGTGTGTGTTTTCGCCTAGAACTCATTGCGTTCGATCTTTTATAGTGAATTAGAAAGTTCTATCTACATTGAATGTTGCTATAGTTTACGTATTGAGCTGGGAGACAGATCCCTTATAAGCTTATTCAATAAGACAGTTTCCAAAAAAGTAGATATCAGAGCGGTATGTGTCGATTTTCATGTTATTAACTACCATGAGATAAAACGCATCATGTGGTTGAGCAAAGCACACAATAAGAAACTAAATAGTGTTGGTGTGTGAAACAGAAATTGAAACCCTTTAGATTTTCGGAGAAAAAACAGAGAAGAACTCTAGTGATGTAAAATTGTTTCCGTGAACTTAAAAGTGAGTGACCACAAACTATAGTCTCCTCGAATGTAGGTATGATTTTGAATCTATGGACATGACACATAGGACTGTCTAGATTGAGGTTTGTGTTCATAGACAGCTAGTGGACGTGTAGGATTCACTATCATTGGCATAATGTTGAGCATAATTTTAGTGTACTTCTTTGTGTTTGAATGAAAGTAAACTAACCGATGTTAGAATTAACCGAGGCAATATGTAATGCAACTTAAAGCTGTCTTTTCTTTCGTATGCTTTTGCATGAGAAAGCTTGTTGTCTAACATGAAACAGAGAAGTATTATGGTGGACATTGGACAATAATGTGTTCTTTTGTACGGAGTTAAATAGACTGGTTTGAAGTTATTCGGAGCAAAATGTGGGAAGTTCTTTTTGATAATTATTGTATAAAATGAACTAATAATTGCTAAAATGTTAAGGAGATATAAATGCTGCAGAACTTTTTTATGCACATTCATTCCTAGGCTTTGCAACTTCTGATTTGAAAAAGAAATTAACTAGTCTGCTAATAACTTCATGACCTTGTTACCTTTGAAGAATCAATGATAAAACTGATTGATTTTGATAGCTGAGATTATCATCTTCTTGTCTTTTTGTTGTCCTTCCCCCTTCTCACAAATCAATGATAAGGAAGCTTGCAAGAGAGAGAAGTGATGTACCAAAAAAACCTGCTATCATTGAGAAGTCTCTCTTGGAGGAAGTTTCCTTTAGTTTTGCACTATTGAACTCTATATTGGCTAGCGATCTATTGTAAATTACCAAGCAATTTTATTCTTTTATTTTTGAATCTTTGCAAACAAGAGAAACTGAGCTTTGTATTATGGCTACTCTTCATATATAATTCCAGCTGAAAACCTTTTTAGTACTGGATGTGGACTCCCTTTTCAGCTCTTCAAACAGAATACCTCTTAAAAACTCTGATTGACGTTCACACTACCTAATCTTCTACAACATTTGTGTTACTTGATAAGGGACCATTAATTTTCACATAGCTTTCTTCTGAGGTGTTAGTTTGTTCAATCTTCCCATTTAAGCAAAGTAGTTTGGAATGTAGTTGATCAACCTAGGCCAATGGCCGGAGAGGATGCTCAATTTCACCCGCAAGTCACAAGCACACACTGGTATCAGATTGATTGCAGTTACCATTTGAGTTGACAAATTTTGAATTTCATTTGTCATGCAATAGGAGAATTTCTTTTCCTTGAGAATGTGGCAATCATTTCATTCCCCAGTGAAGGGCCAGTTTTCTAGGATTGTCTGAAGCTCCTTGTTTATCATCGGTCTACTGTAAATTCACCCTAGATGTTATATTTGCTTGCAGTCATCCATAACAAATGTTTGTAACCTTGTGTATCTTTGCTTTTAATTCGCGGAAGACACAGTTTTCCTTGGTGCACTAAAATTTACATCAATTGTGGACCTGCATAAAAAGTTTTCGCTCCCATGAATGTCAGGTACAAGCAACAAATGAGTATCTTGGTAAATCAGCTTTGGTGCGGAAGAATGACCAGCTCCCTGGTTTTAATAACAGTACAGCTAATAACTTGACCAACCAAATAGATGTGCTTTGAAGTAAACGTGGTGATTTTGTATAAGGACCAGGGTCACTCGTGGTGATCTACCGACTCCAATGTGGTGAGAAAGAACTTCATTAGTTATGCTAAGATGTTAAAATGAAGTTATATCTTATAATATTGCTTCCATGGTCATCCCTGTGTGCAAAGTATATGTAACCAGGAGAATGGCAGGAAGTGCTTCACTTAGCAATCCTATTGTTTATACAGGTTCCAATTAGTGCATGCAACTTAATATTGATAGTGGATTCACTTTCATGTTGCGGGCTAGGAAGGAAGCTCTTTGTACTTCCAAACAAAGTGAACTTCTGACAGTTCTTACTAGAAGGTAGTATTAGGAGTTCCAGAATGAAAGCTAATATCTGTAACCACAGTGGGGATATAGCACCATAGTACACTGCTAACCGCAGAGATTCTGATATTTTAGAGAGAAACCGATACTTTATCCTTCAAATGTACATTCGAGATAACTCGAGAGCAGTTGGTCCCAGCCCTTCCCTCTCCCATGGTTGAAGTTCCTGGACTTTCAAGTCTGTTCATGTGTATTAGACATATAAACTAATTTTTTAACATAGTAAAAGCACGAGCAGGTTCCAATAAACTTCTGCTAACCTGTGTTGCTTTCATTTACTAATGTTTCAGTCTTTCAGCTGATAAATTATCCTTTTTACTGTTGTTTTCCACTAAAAGGTTTTCTGAAACCTTCTACCATTTTTAGGGAATATTAGGCCTATCTTCCCTCGGTGCTATAGCTAATTAGATTTGGTTTAGGACTCTTCTATATCTGCTCTCAATTGTTGTATTTACTTAGAACTCTCAGTTTGTTTAGGACGCTTGTATATATATATATATATATATATATATATATATATATATATATATGGATGTATGTATATGATGTATCACTGTATGTGAAGTAATGAAGAGCTTCAGTTGTAATACTCACCAAAATTCTGTTCTAATATGGTATCAGAAGCCAGTTCCGACTTGTCTTGAACCTCTCCTCTCCCAACCAATGTTGTGCACTTTGCAACAGTTCCAATCATGTCTTCTTCTCCCTGTTAACCATGTCCATCACTTTATCTCGATCAAACTTACTTCCACCAATTACTTATTTCGGAAAATGCAATTGTTGTCGCTCCTGCGAGGTCAGAATCTTCATGGCTTCATTGATGGATCAAAGCCATGCCCACGCCTTCGTTTCTTCCTGTTGAAAATTCGGACACCGTTAAACCCAACCCAGACTATACCACTTGGATCCAACAAGATCAAATCATCATGAGTCTCCTTATATCTTCTCTTTCAGAAGAAACCATACCTATTATCATTGGGTTGAATACTTCCCAAGATATTAGGATGCTTTGGAAGTAGCCTTGTCTTCTCCTTCCAATACTAGAGTCCTTAATCTCCATATGCAGTTGCAAAATCTCAAATGATATGACCTTATTGTCACACAATTTCTCCAAAAGACGAAGCTTTTGTCTGTATGAGTTAGCAGCCGCAGGGCGATCCTTGAATGCTTTAGATTTTAATATTTACGTGTTTAAAGGGTTGCGATCTGATTTCAAGGATATTGTTACTACTTCTGCGCGACCTGAACCAGTTTCTTACTTCGAGCTTCATAGTCTACTGCTGAACCATGAGTTTATTCATGGCTCATCCATGTCCTCCCTATCCCTTGCTTCAGGCGATACATCTCATACACCAGCGACTAATGTTGCTCAGCGTTCGTTTCATGGTGATAAACACAACCTTGGTCAGATCAATACCAATTCTCAAAGGGCCCGTGGCAGATCGTACAGAGGTCGAGGAGGCCGTGGTGGTCGCAATCAGTATCATCATAACACCTATAGTAATAACTACTCTCCAATGGGTCAACCTTGGAATTCAAATAATGATGGAAGAGTAAGGTGTCAAATCTGTAATGGTACTAATCATCAAGCCGCGGCCTATTTTCAACGCTACAACCACACTATAAATCCTTCAGCTCATCTCACTCATCAAACATCGATTCCGTTGACTAAAAATTGGTTCCTCGACACAAGCGCAACTCATCATATTGCACCAAACCTATCACGCTTTATTCATATTGAGGAATACAAAGGCCCAGATCAACTACATGTTGGTAACTTACAAGGTTTACCTATCCAAAATACTTGCAGTGCTTCTTTTTCGAATCCCTCTAACCGTATTTTTTCCTTAAATAACATTCTTCATGTTCCCTCTATAACTAAGCGCCTTCTATCTGGTCAAAAGTTTGCTCGTGATAATAACGCTTTTTTTGAATTTCAACCTCATTATTTTCTTGTCAAGGATTGGGATTCTAGGAATCTGCTCCAACGGCGGATCTACATTTTCTATTGTGGGTGCTTAAGCATCCATTGCTTTTGGACACAATACTACTACTTATATTAAAAAAATTAGTAATTCACACAACTATATTAACTGTAGCACCCAGTCTAAGTAGTAACTTTCTAATAATAAATAGTTGAGCACCCATAATTTAAAAATTCTGGATCCGCCACTAAATCTGCTTCTTTCTGTCAGAGTGTTAATGATCTTTACACCATGTCCATCAAGCCACAATCCTCCCGTCATCCTTCAGCTCTCACAGCCACCAAAGTCTCATCCTCCTGTTGGCATCTTCGGTTGGGTCATCCGCATCAGAAAGTCCTTGGCCAAGTGTTATCTAGACATCGGCTTTCTAATTCTAGTTTTATATTACAAATTTTATGTACGGCTTGCCAACTTGGCAAGTCCTATAAACTGTCTCTTTCCCTTCGTATCAATAAAAGTACTTCATTTTTGAGACTTATTTTTGCGGATGTTTCGGGACCTTCCCCTTTTCTGTCATCTCAAGAACATCGTTTTCTTCTCGTGTTTGTTGAAGATTTCTCTGGTTATACATAGTGCTTTCTGATGAGAAAGTCTGATGTGCTATCTATTTTTACTCAATTTCAAGTTCTTGTTGAAAGACAATTTAATACAAAAGTTAAGTCGATCCAAACTGATTGGGACGGTGAATTTCGCCGTTTATCAACTCCTTGTGCAAAGTTAGGCATCATTCATTGCCTTTCAACCCTCACACACATGAACAACAAGGAAAGGTTGAGCGCAAACATAGACACGTTGTTGAAACTAGATTAAGTCTCATGGCCTAAGTTGCTCCGACACGGCAGTTTAGGTGCTGCACCGAGTTGACGCGACACTAGTATGAGTGTGGGTATGGGCTCCGTCTGGTCAAATAATTTTTGGTACTTTGACCACGACGAACAGAAATATTCGAGACGATATACAATTTGATTCCCTAATTCAAAATCAAACTAGGGTAAATTTGAAAAAAATAGCATAGCTTATCTAGGACAATCCTTTACTTATCTACAACTTGACAATAAAACATAAGTATTCCACAAAATTTCTCATAATTTAGAAATATTTATATATTTTTGTCACGATCCAAACTGGATGGTCATGACTAGCACGAGGTCCATACTTGCCGAGCACCAACGTACATTTTATCTAACCTTCCTTATTATCTTTAAGGCCAACGAGATCATTATAAATGGTAGATATGGATCATGAACAACAAACAATGAAAGATAATGAAACGAACATACATAACATGAGATGACAAGACTGCCAAGAAACTACATATAAGGTACAAGCTACCACGCTCCCATGAAAGACTATACAACAAAAATCAGCCGACAAGGCATACCAAACTATACATGAGTCGACACATGTCAATGAGCCTCTAAAAGAGCATAAGTGCTGCAACATTGCCGGAACAGGGCCCCGTCATACCCATAATATCTATAACAAAAATGCATACCAAGACCACGGCAAGTCCGGAGAAGGGATCTCGCCAACAACTGCTGAACTGGGAAGCCTACTGTGGTGGGGAAGCTGCGTCTACCTGTCTATCAGGACCTGCAGCACAACATGCAGCATCCACAAATATAAAGGACGTCAGTACGAATAAAGTACTGAGTATGTAAGGCAAGAAAGCATAAGTAAGAACAGTAATGTAAACAGGGATAAAGAATATACAACCTGTAACATCTGGATACCTCTGGGGGCTACTGATATGAAATGCGTGATACATACATATATATACATAAACTTTTAAAACATATGCCTCAGTGGGCATCATCATCATCATATCGTACCCGGCCGTAATAGGGTCGGTAAAATGCACCCGGCCACGTGGAGCTCGGTAAAACCCAACTGATCAGTGGTTGCACAATAGGTGTCGTACCCGGCCGACTATAGCGCGGCTAGGTAGAGTAAAATAGATACACGCACACACACACACACATATACATATATATATATATATATATATACACACACACACACACACACACACATATATATACACACACACACACACACACACAGAGACACTTCAATATATATATATATATANACGTAAGGTCGATATTCTCCGTACACATTATTAGGAATAACTCTTCATCAAGAATCTTATAAGAATCAGGAAGTATCAAAAACATTGATAACATAAGAATAAGAGAAGAAACCTCAACATCAATTGTTCCATAAGAAGGGAAACAATGTAAGTACTGCTAGCTTCTAAGAGTAGAGTACCTTTCGAAGCTCGTTCATTATATTATGTACAATCGAAGTCATGCAAAGGAAGGAAAGGGATAGCCTCACATACCTTGTATATGTACTGCTCAACCTCAAGCTATGCAAATGTCACGACTCCTTAGTCTACAATAAGAGAAATGACACTATCGTTATCATTTAAGCATCGTAACTATTATGTATCGATCACAACCTATTTTACGATGAAACGGGCAGCACCTCCCCTATATATATGAATTCACACAAGTCAAAAAAATCACCAAACATCCCAACATACCCCTATCACTTCATCCACAACACGACAACCATAGTAGTGTCAAACAATCCGAAAATATTACGACGAACGACCAGTAAACAACCCTGCTATTATGTGGTGTTTCTCCACACCCTTTCTCCTCTCAACTCCATAAAAATAGTAGCAAAAGAGACAATCCAATAGCAACACGAAACAGCCCACAAAACAGTCCCACAAGTTCAACAACTCAAAATCAATTTTTCAGTTTACTTAAACACGTTTCGACTTGTCTTTTCTTTCAAATTGAGAAACACAACCAAAAGTACATAATTATAACTCTAATCCAATAAACCGGCCATGAATTCAACTTAAAAATAAGTTCACAACCAGCCAAGCATGACGCGAGAACAAACAACATACCACTCTTTCGAAACTCGCTAGGTCTATTCTTTACGATCGAATTACAACTCGCAAACGCATAGATAATGGGAGGAGAAGCATAACCTTACCTTGTACTGAGTATAACCCACAAAACTTGGTTCTTCTTCATCAAAATCAGTTCCTCAACGCGCCTACAAGAAGGAGAAAGAGAAACTAGCAAGCTATCCGGACTTTTCGGCACTAGAATCACGTCGTAGCACCCGAAATACCCTAGGGTTTGTGTGGGATTTTTGGTGAGGAGTTGCAGGGGTTCAATTTGGATTGCAAGGTCTGAAAGATGGGTGAAATAAATGAGTTGATAAGCCCTTAAAAGTCCCCTCTTGGCTGACTTT